ACATATCAAATGATTCTCCGGGAAGCATTTTGAAGCTTTTGAACTTCTCAAGCAGGACTTCTATCTTCTTCTTTCTCAGGTCCTCTGATCCCTCACATAGCTTCCCAAGACCTTGCCAAATCTCCATGGCAGTCTTGAGATGCTTAATCTTGGAGAAGGTGATGGGATCAAGTGTCTTGAAGATGGTTGCTTTGGCGACGTTGTCCAGATTGTGCTTTTTGCAATCTCTATCATCCCATTTTTCCTTGGGCTTTGGAATGTACTGGACTACATCTGGAGCAGCTGGATTCCTCTCAAGGTTCTCCATTTGAATTTTCAAGGGTCCATCCTCAAGCACCATCCACATGCAATCATGTAGAGCGTAGAGATGTGCTTCCATCATGATCTTCCAATCATCATAACCTAGAAGAGAAAACTTGGGCAAACCGTGATCCATATTGTTCACCATTATGATCGCTTCTTGTTAATCTAAAAGTAGATAGTGAGAAGTATGCTCCGATACCAATTGGTGGTCCTGAAGTTGTGAGATACAAAGTCTAGAGGGGGGTGAATAGAATTTGTTACAAATTTAAAAACTTTTTTGTTTCTTTTGAAAACGTGAAAATGAGTGTTAATCTAGAGTTCTTGTGAACTTTAGATTATGTACGGAAGTTGGTGGGTAGAGTGAGCAGTAATCAATATGGATGGGTTAGTTTTCTCAGTTAATATAATTGTAAGAAAGAATAAAGATAAAAGAGAGAGACACGCAAACTTTAACGAGGTTCGAAGGTGGGGTAATCCTTCTACGTTTTCAAAATCCACTATGTAGTTGGTTGTTGAATAATGAACCAACAATTACACTTGTGTGAATTTCTGCACTGTATATCTTCGCAAGGCCAATGTTGCTACTGCACTCGTGCTGGCTTTGTTGTTCCTTCGAAGGTCACGCTTCTTCAACAACTGCAAGGTCCGAGCAATAGGACTTGCAGGACCAACTTGTAAGAAAGTTGACCTACCCCCTTTCAATTAGTAAGTTTGATCAAAAGTTGTATCCTTCAACGTGGTGTGGTACTTAAGGCAAGGAAACCTTCAAGTATTTACACTATAGCTCTTTGGAAGGAGGAAAAGTTTGCTTCTCGATAAGAAGTTTAGAAATCTCTCTTTATCAAGCTTTTTGGGCTAATTGTGAATGAGGTAGCCTCTTTGTGGTTGTTTATCTTATTGTTGTCGTTGTTCTCTTCTTCCCCAGTCTTCCAAGGATGCTATTTATAGCTGGATTGGATAATCTATCTGTTGAATCAAAATAGACTATCCGTTGCATTTGTTGGCTTCAATTTTGAATGAAGATTGTGATTTTAAGATTCCTCATTGGAATGGGTGTTTGGACATACCCAATTGTTAAAGGAGGGATTCCTTTTTCCATAGAATCCGTCTTCTAGTTGTTCAAGAATTCTGAACTGTAGCACTTTTCTCTGTTTGTCTTCTAGTGCTTGTTTAGGAATTCTGGACAGGTTCTTCAATTTTTAGAGGTCCAGACTTTGTCTTCGAGTCATTTGTTCTTGAATCAGCATAATTATCTTCAATCTAGCCGTTGAAAATCAAGAGATTGATTTTTCCTTACCAACGGGTAGAATTTCTTCATTCAAGACTTAGATAATTTTCTAAGTCTTTTCTCACTTGTCCGCTTTTTGAGAATTCCGGTCTTCCTTGAGGCATCCGGTTCTTAGCTGACAAATCCGGAAGAGTCATACTCAGTCTTCCAG